ATGTCTCTCTGGCTGTCTCTAGAGGAGGGCCGCATATCTCTCGGAAGAAGGAGCCTGTGTCTAGCATGGTGAGCCAGGGGTGTATGTGTATGTTATGTGAATGCCAGAGTGTGCCCTTAACTTGCACTGCCTGCATGTTTACGTTAGTATTGTGTGTGTGTGTGTGTGTGAGTGTGTGTGTGTGTAGAACATGGCGTTGGAGGTTATAATGGCATGTTGCAGTTTTCAGGACCTGTGGGCTAGGAATCAAAAGATTTAAATTTTGGTTCTGAAGGCCTCCCTGGCTCACCCCTCTCTCTGAGACAGATAACCTGTCTGAGCTTCAGATTTCCCGCCTATGTAATGGAAAAAAAAAAAATAATAGCAGCTCTACTCTCTGTAAAGCACAAGAATAAAATGAAATAATGTATGTGAATATGCTTTGTTAATTACCCTATCCTACACAAATGTGAGAGATTATTATCGTCACAGCTCAGCTCATCAGAATGAGAAGTTATATGTGGCTTAAAATAATCCATCCAGTGAGCTGCGCTAAAATGTAGGTCAAATCATAGCTTCAGAAGTTTAGAGAGAGACTGATGGGAGCCACTAATCTAACAGGCCTCCAAATGTGAAGGTGCTTTGAAAGCCATAAAGAACTACATAAATGGAATGACAATTATGTTTAAACCTAGAGTATACATTTTAGTAATCCGGTCTTCTGAATCTAGAGACATAAAGATCCAAGTAGCAATGGAGCTTCATGAAGTGTTATATTTTTGTGGGTTGTAGATATGCATGGGTGCTTCATCCGTGTGAATATGGACTCATTTATTGAGCACCTACTATGTGACAGTCACTTAAAAGAACTTCCAGTTGTCTACCTTGTGTATCGATCTAGGTATTATGGATGCCCTGTCACTTCCCTCAAGGAGCCCATGGCCTGGCCAGCACAATGCTGGGAGTTGGAATGCTGGGTGGCGGGTGTTATAGGAGAGGAAGTGGTCTTTCAGCTCAGTCTAAGTGGTGGCCCAGAGGAGGGGACCCAGGGAAAGGGAGCCCAGGAAACAAAGCTGGAAAGGGGAGCTAGAGTTTGCTGGGAAGCCCAAAAAGAAGGTAGCTGGACGGAGCAAGCAGTCTGTGCCTAGCTGTGGAGGGGGAGCAGCTGCTTCTGTACCTGCTGTGGTCTGTTGGTCCCATATGGAAAGGTGACCCAGCCAGCTCCTGGGACCCTCCTGCACAAGGGCTAGGGGGCTGGCCTTGGTCCTCTAGGCTCTGGGATCCTCCTCAGAGAAGGTTTAAACTCTGCAGAGTGACATAATGAACCTTGCATTTTTGTAAGGATCAGAGCCCAGTGTCCCACACATATTACTGCAGTGGCACTGGCCAGACGTTAGGCTGTGCGCCATGAGCAGTAGCTGCACGTGGAGGGCAGTGGGCTGAGGTTGCAGGAGGTAGCGAGGGGCCTAGAGGGGAAGGCTGGGAGTGCGGTGCCTCTGTGAACCTTCTAATCAGGATGTGTGGAGCTGGGAGGAAGTGAGCAATTCTTGAGTGACTGTCACATGGGAGCTTTTGATCTGTTACCTCACTTCATTTTTATGCTTAACTGAAAAGTAGATATTATTATCCCCAATTTGTGGCTGAGGAAAGCAAGGCACAGGATGTTAACAGCTTGAAGGGAATAGTAAAGGACAGTGCAGAGCAGAAATCCCAGCCTAGTTCTCCCTTCTCTAAAGCCCACTACCTCTGATTTCTGCCTCTCCACTGCTGCTGGAAGGGCTGCCTACCTCATTCTCCTTACTTGACAGGTGAGGAAACCAACCTGGCCCAAATCTGTTCTCCTTGGATATGATACTGTTTCCCAGCTGCTCAAGTCACTGTGGATCAGATTCTTCTATTTCAGAGTTTTAGTGATAATTCCTAATTCTGTGCTACTTGCAGATTTGATAAGCATATTTTACATTCCTTTGCTTAACCCATCAGCAAAGATATTGAATAAAATAGGCCCCATGACAGATGCAAGAATGAACCACTTGATATGCCTCCTTGGAGCTGTGGAGGGCACAGCCCCAGCCATCTGTTCACCCTGCTCAGTGGATCTGCTACCTCCCTGACAGCCTGAACCATAGGCAGGTTCTGAGCAGAAAGCATTGCCTTCCACTTCTCCCTGCACTTGGGCTTCTTCATGGGAGAATGATGTGTTGCAGAAGACCTGGGTGTGAATCCTGACCTAAGCTCTCATGGAGACTTGGTGTCATTAGGCTCAACTGAGGGGTGCTCAAGGCTGGAGAGCTCCCTGTGCCTGAGCACCCCTGCCTGTCCTACATCTCAGGACATGTAAAGTGATCACCCCTTCCTCCTGGGCTGGCTAACCGTGAATCCAACAGAGGAAAAAAGGTGCTAAACACCTGCAGCCTGGACAGCACGCATGGGGTACAGCGAGGAATTGCAGCAAGTCTGCATATGGCATAGATTTTCCATGTGCCTGATAGGAGGTCAAGTTCTGGTTCTTGTCCAGAAAGGTCAAGTGTCTTTGTTCTTAGATCATTGCCATGTGGTGGCCAAGGTTTGTTTTTGTCAATCAGGCATCCTGATTTCACATCTGTGATTAGTCAGGATAAAAGTCAGAAAGTCAAATAAATAAATACCTCTGTAGGAAATGCAGTTTGTTAAAGAAGTAGTTCAATGCCCTGAATTTCTGGGCAGCAGGAGTCCTTCCAGAGCTAGAATTTGGGAGTGAACAGGATAGACAAGGAGACAAGCCATTTGAGAAGCAGGTGGAATAGACTCCTCCAGCCCCTCATTTTCTGGATGAGGAAACAGGCTCAAAGAGGATGACACCTAGCCGGGTGTCGTGGCGAATGCCTATAATCCCAGCACTCAGGAGGCTGAGGCAGGAGGATGGTTGTGAGTTCGAGACCCACCTGGGCTACAAAGTAAACTCAAGGCCAGCCTGAACTGCATAGTGAGACCATGCCTCAAAAAGACAGGAAAAAAAAAAAAAAAAGGATGACCCTACAACTAGGAAATGGGTGTAATGGAGCCACTTTGGTTTGCTCCAGGCCCTGGGCCTTTTCTGTGACCTCAGTTGGCCCTGATAGTTTTATAAAGATGCTGCCCACTTAGCAGTGGTCCTATCAGGCCAAAAGTACTGCCTCACCTTGAAATTCATTGCAGCTCTTTAAGTCCGGTTGAAACCTTCATACATACTGAGCTGCATAGTATTTTCTCCCTGTGTGATGCAGGTGATCGCTTTGTAGAGGGAGTGTGAATGGGATTTCAGGGGAGAGCACAGAGCCAGCAGCCTGGCAGTCCACAGGCATGTGCCCTCTGGGAACCTGGTGGGGCTTTCCAGACCCTCACCACTCCTCCCCAGGGGGCTGCTTCTCGGCTGTGCTTTCCTGAAAAGAGTCCCTCCAGGGTCTCTGGTCCCTGGCCAGCCTCTGCCTCCCCTGGGGAGCCTTCCCCCTCCCTGGCTTCCCTTTCCACCTGTTCTGGGCTCCTCAAGAGGTCTTCTTCAGCCCTTCTCCAGCCCTCAGTCCTCACTACTTTGTCATTCTGTACAGATTAGTGACAGTTGCTCTCATAGACCAATCATCACAGTACCTCGTGGAATCTCTGTCCTCGACAGCATTTTTGTCAGATGACTCTGGTCTCTGGGATGGCAGCTGTCTCCTCCCTTGCTCCCACAATGCACCAGTGACCTCTTCTGCACCTCTGACCATTCTCCAGTGTGACTGTGCCACCCTTAGGTGCCAGGCTGGTGTCTGTCAGCCTCTGCTCGTATCTCTGGTGGCCTCCCAGAACCTGAGCTGCGATGGTCTGTCTCCGGGACCCACCGCAGATGGGTAAATGGACAGAGCAGGGCCAGTCATGCTTTTCCTGTTGGTCCAGTGTCTACAGTTGGTGGTGATAGGCTTTTATTTGTGTGTCCCACTGTCACCTGAAAATTAATGTGGCAAACCACATACTATTTTGAAATCACAGAAAATGAAAGTTGACTGGAACGTGGAGGGCTATCTCAGTGAAATCTCCAGGAAACCTGGGCATGCTCCCCTTCTCCATCCATGGTGCCAGCATCGTTCCGGGATGATGCCACCCCCAGGAAGTGCCGGGAAGCCATCTTTAGCTCCCGACATCGCATGAAGAGCAGCATATTGTCCTTCTGCTGGGTCAGGGTCCCTCTCTCCTTCCCAGCATTGTTTCTGCTGGTGATTAGTCATGCCAGAGCTTGGCTGAGTCAGAAGGGACTTGTGGGTGGTTTGTGGCCAGGCTGGAGCAGTGAGGCAGGACTTTCTAGGTTTATGTCTTTGGGCCCCAGGAGACAAGTACAGAGGGCCCAGCCCTGCACAGGTCCTGTGTGAGGGGCAGATAACAAAACAGACCCCTGGTCCAGAACTCAGCGAGTGAGAAGGATCAAAGGAGCCAAGATGTGGTCCCTGAGACATTCTTGTGGGGTGGCAGGCACATGCAGTGCCAGGGCCATATGGCCAGGCTCTGGGGCAGGGATATTTGCAGCAGCTAGAAGAGTCCTGCCCTTCACACAATAGTCCTCATTTCAAGTACTGCATCTATTTCAAACAGATGACCCTACATTTTAACATTCCTTTTCATCTGATTTTATTTTTTCCAGTAAAGATTCATTAAATAGGTTGCTCATTGAATTTTTGTACTTGTGCAAGAGTTTTTAAAATATAAATTCCTCAGAAACAGCACCTTTATCAGAGCATGTGTTAGGATCTTGTGGTTGAGGAGTGTGGTCACCAGAGGGAGCAGTGTTTCTGCTGGGCAGTGGGGCCTTCCAAAAGCCCCCGGGAATGGGTTTAAGTGGCGCCCTGAGGGTGGCTCCAGTTTTGCCAGGCAGGAAGGGTTGACAGTGACCCTGTTGGTGGGACAGAATAACACAGCCCTGGAAGTGTGGCTGTCGTGGGGGTGGAACAGGAGGTGAAGGCCAGCCAGCCAGGCCTGGAACAAGGTGCCCCTTGGATCAGCTCTGGCTCACAGGCTGTCTGTGCCCACAGGAAGGAGAGGAGCAGGAGGAGCCTCGCAGCAAGGAGGAGCGCCAGGAGCCCAGCGCCACAGCCCGGAAGGTGGGGAGGCCCGGCCGGAAGCGCAAGCACCCCCCGGTGAGTGTCCCTTCCCACAGGACCCCCATACATGGGCGTATACCCTGGTGATGTATGTGCTGCAGGGACTTGGGGACACTAAGACCAGCTGCAGAGCTTGCTCATATTCCTCATTCTGTGAAGCCAAGAGCCACCTCAAATCCTCTGTTTTCTACACTGAGAATTAGAGGCCCAACGAAGCCAGGGAACATGGCTGGGGGTGTTGGAGCCGGGATTTCAATCAGGCCTCTGCTGGAAAGGCAGTGAGAGAGCCTGCCAGAGTCCCTGGGCTGGACTCAGACCTCCTGGCCTGGCTATATAAACCCCTCTCTGCTGATCCACACAGCCTACCCTGGGCCTTAGCACGCCCAGGAGAGCTGCAGGGCTGGAGTTGGGCGGGGAGGAGGTGCAGCCTGAGAGGAACAGCAGTGCTCTGTGGAAGTTCTGCAGGGGCAGTACCGCAAGGTTCTGGGAGCTGTGGTTGCTGCATTCTGAGGGAGCTCTAGGGTTGCCGGAGCTGAGGAGCGGTTAAGGCATGGCAGAGGGCTGGATGGCCTGCCTCTGCGCTTTCCGCTTAGAGGTGGAGAATTCTTTCCCAGCACCAAAGACAGCTGGTTCCTTTCTTTTAGCCCCTTCCAGCTGAGAATGGTAAACTTGGAGCAAGACGGTGAGGGGGAGCCAGAGCCTCCCAATTTGTAACTCAGCCCTTCAATGAAATGTTCTCAGTAGCGCGGGGAGTCTGGGACTTTTGCACAGCATAGGTAGGGAGGTGGCTTCTTAGAGGTGGGAAGTTTGGGAACCTGCTGGAAACGACAATGCACCTCTGCCAGTTCCTTGTGAAGATGGGGGTGGGGGCAAATAAATATAACTGGTGAGGAATTTTAAACATCTTAATATTAAAGCAAACATGGATATTTTATGGCCCAGAATGAAACGTTTATGTGACAATGAAAGATAAAATGGGACTCCAGAAGAATTTCCAATGTGCAGCCAGCCATGCTGGCAGGTTCCCAGAATGCCCCTGTACTTCCCCTACCGAGGGCCCTGGCTGGGGAAGGGCAGCCGTGGGGCCACAGCCTCCCCTTGACTGGGCGGCCGTGCTCTGTCAAGCAAGCTCCCCTCTTTCTCCTCTAGTTGCCAGGGACAAGAGCCACCACCTGTGTCAAATCAGGACCCAGCAACCCTTGAAGTCCTATCGTCGCTGGGGTTGGGGACTGGGATCAGGGCACAAGGGGAGGACATGCAGATGGACAGAGAGAGGAGAGGGCAGGGGTGTATGTCCCCACCTGGAGCAGGTGCAGTGCAGAGGAGAAACGGTCTTTGTGTGCAGAGTGCAGTGGAAATGGGTTTGAATCCCAGCTCAGCTTACCTGTATGACTCTGAACAAGTCACTCTGCCTTATTGCCAAACAGAAGCAGTAAGATTCATTCCTTCTAGACTGCTGTGACACTGAAATGGGCTCCTGCACCAGCCAGCTGATCCTCAGCAAAGACTGGGCCTGCCCTTGCCTGGCCACATGTTTCCTTTTCAGGAGGCCGCGGCAGCCAGTGTGCCGGAAAAAACAGTGCCTGGACTTACTGCTTCCTAGCTGTTTAATCCTGAGCAAGTTACTTAGCCACACTGAGCTACTTCCTCATTGTTAAAATAGTACTGTCAATAATACCTGCCCTGGCCAGCCATAGTGGTATGCTCCTGTAATCCCAGCACTCAGGAGGCTGAAGCAGGAGGATTGCTGCATGTTTGAGGCTACATAATGAATTCAAGGCCAGCCTGAACTACATGGTGAGACTCTGTCTCAAAACACAAAACAAAACAAAAACAAAAACATTTTTTTAAATTGAAAAAAACAAAGCAAAACCTGTATCCCATCTACTTTCTTGATGCTTTGCGAAGGACAGGCTGGATGTGCAGAAATGGCCGTGTAATGAATCTGTGCCATGGCAGGGCCAGTGACCCCAGACCATGGGGCTGGCCTTTGAGGTGGGACCTCACATCAGCCTCTAAGAAACCCTGGTGGGGGCCGTACACATCCTCTGTCAGTTGGATGTAGTCCAGCCCGTGTCCAAGGCGCCACCCAGAGCCACCTGGACTCTCAGCAGAGGCACCCAGGATGGGCTAGCCCATGGGGAAGGCCTGAGACAGCTGTTGGAAGGGACAGTGGGCAACAGAGAAAGACACAACCCGGAGAACCACAGCCCGGAGCCCACACTGGGGGCTTCCTGCTGTGGCCTGGTGCCTACCACAGTACCAGCCTGGCTATGGAGTTCTGATGGAGGTCTCAGCCCTTGGGAGGCAGGTGCTGATCCCAGCCTCCTTGCCTACTCTACAGGAGTGCCACAGCAGCTGAGCATTGTCCCTCGAGCCTGGAGAGGGCAGAAGCTCGGCTTGGGCCATCTGCATGTAACTGAGGGGAGCCGCAGGCTGGAGGCAGGGGCTTCCTGGTGCAAATGTGGCACCATTGGTGCTGCATAGGGAGAGACAAAGGGTAGCACCAGCATCCTCCCCAGCCCCGATGCTAAACAGTTTTTCACTCCCTCCCTTTGTCTTTGCCTTCAGCAGGGGACTGTCTGTGGGTGCTGCCAAGTGGTGCTCCTGGCACTACCCTTAGCCACACTGGACCCCACGTGCACCCAGGTGCCCAGGCCAGTGGGCTTTCTAGAGCTTCCGTTCCTCCCTGCCCTGCACAGCACCTTGTGCTTGCTGCTGCCATGCAGGGGGAGAAGCTCTGATAAGGGAGACTAAACTTCCAGTCTAGTGCCCCAAAGTGAAGAGCCACACAGTTACACTGAATGCAACGCCTAGCTCATCTCTGTTCTCCGTCTCAGGGACTTCCTCTCTCCCCTCCTTCCCCTCCTTCCTTCCTTCTGCTTCTGGGAATCTAACTCTATGGTTGAGCTACCTCCCCAGCCCTTTTTATATTTTATTTTGAGATGGGGCCTCAATAAGTTGCCCAGGCTACCCTGGGACTTAGGATGCTTCCGCCTTACCTTGTGGAGTAGCCGGGATTACCTGTATGTGTGCACTGCACCCAGCTCTAGGACTTTTTGTTTGCTTGTTTTTTATCAACTTGATATTGTTGCCACATCCATGCACCTGATTTTTGTTTTTTGTTTTTTTTGTTTTTGAGACAGGGTCTTGCTATGTAGTTCAGGCTGGCCTTGAACTCACTCTGTAGCCCAGGCTGGCCTTGAACTTGCAGCGATCTTCCTGCTATATGAATTTATTCATTGATCCTCCTGCTGGGATTACAGGTATACACCATCACACTTGGCTACCATGGCCTGATTTATGTTTTAGGAAACTGTCATTTCTCACTGGATAGAGAATTTAAAAATCCCAAACGAAAACTTGGCTTTTTTTACCCCAGGTAGTTTGCATAGCATGTGAGGAGAGCTTGCTGTTTCCATTAGCTTTGACCCCTGGTGCCACTCTCTAGGCATGCTCACTGTGGGGAGGCACACTGTATTTATCCAGCGCCCACTGAGGACAGAGACCATAAATAAATGCTTGTAGTTGTGCAGCACCTGATTGCCCATGAAGGGCTTTACGGTGATGACCTCCTTGGTGCTGAGGACACAGCCGTGCAAGAGGAGACATGGGTTGTCATAGGGCGCCTGAGTTAGGGAGCATTCAGGTCTTGGATTCCACGCCTTCCGTTTGCATAGCCTGTGGTGTTATTCCTTCTTCACCAGTGCAGCCAAGTGGTCTGGCCCACTGAATACCAAAGGGCTCTTTCTTAAGTTAATGTGTGAATGCAGGGCTGTTTGTAAAAATACACCGAACATTTGCAAAAACCATGCAAAGAAAGTAAAGGCCAGGAAAGCAACTGACCAAGTGTCAGTGGGGAAGGCTGTGGTGGCCTGAGGACCGAGAAGTGGCCTTGCTTAAAGCCAGGCAGTGGCCTGGTTGGCCCGTGGCTCTGGCTAGAGCCAGGATGCTGCTGGCAACAGGAAACAGGAAGCCAGTGACAGGGCTGGGCGGGGCTTAGGAAGGAGCAGGCACCTGGGCCAGGGCCTGTGGGCTGGCCAGTGCCTGTGCCTGTAGGAGGGGCCTGTGGTGTGGGGCTGAGCCTGTGTGTGTCAGGGCAGGGAGGAAGGGGCATCTTCTTGTTTGCCAGCTCTTGAGGACCTTGCAGGGTAACTAGCAAGGCTGTCTGAGGCTGGTTCCTGCCTGGTCACAAGCCCAGACAGCACTTCGAAGGCCTTTGTCCTCAGTGGGTAGTTCCATGTGGGAGGGTTTCTGTGCTTGGCCACTAGGCCCTAGGTGGTGATCTGCCCTGCAGAATACCCTGTTTACTAGCTATATGAATTTATTCATTGAAGATTTATACCCACCAACTTCCTCCAGGGTTATTTTTGCTTGGAGGGAGCATTCTGAGGTCACCTCTTGCTAAGAATAACCCAGAAAGGGCGGGGGGAAGAGAAGGAGGGGGCTGGGTGCTGGCACTGGGCTTCGCTGAGCCAGCCCTGGGTTCCTTATTCCCCCACTGCCCCTCAGCACAGCACAGGAGGGAGGGAGCTCAAGAGGACAAGATCGCTGCGCTTCTGGGGAAAAGGCTTGGGGTATAAACTCTGGGAACTTCGGTAGCCTGTCCCCTGGCCCTGTAAGGGTGGTTAGTTTCACCCAGCTCTTAGTGGTACGGGCTAATTTTCCAGCCTTGCAACCTTCGGATTCTTCTCCAAGTTAAAAGAGAGCTCAGATCCCCTCCTTGTTTCCAGATGAGAGCTGCTGTGGTGCTGAGCACTGAACTGTGACTCAGTGACTTGTGTCACCCTGTTTATAGGCACAGGACTTCTTGGGACAGCATCTCTGGTTCCTGGGCTGCAGCCCCTGGTCTTCTTTGCTGTGATGACTTTTCTTTCTGTGAAGTGCATCAGCCCCCTGCTGCCCCTCCCGTCTTCTCCTGGGTTGGAAGGCGTGAGGAAACGGATGCTCCTATAGCTCATGAAGCTTGAGGCCTAACTCTCCCTGCAGATTCCCCTAGCTGAGTGCTCCAGTCAACACCCACCAGTGGAATTCAG